TACAGAATATATATAGTATTATAATATATTTTATATATATGGGTTTTATATAATATATTTTCTAACTATTTAAAAATACTTGTCTTTGTGTTGCTTCCAAAGGTGTACATCTTTGCAAATACCACAGGAAGCACAATGAAATGATATATAATTAAGCTGGAAAATCCAAATTTTTTTAAATCTATGGAGGTAATTCTAAAATGGAGAAACCGAGATCAACAGTGTCCCTTGTGTAGGAATGTTTTCTGGCAAGAGAAAAATAGAAGTTAGAAATGCAAAAAATCCCCAAACCCAACCTAAATAAGTCATTATAAAAATAACAAAACAAAGAAAGCTGTATAGCAATCAACAATCAGGGAGAAAAGAAAATAAACATTAAGAATAGGACACTGAATGGAAAATTAATTTTGTGGATGTCAGTCTTTACTACAGAAAAGGAGTAACAGTCTTAGAACCGTTCTCAATAGATTAAAGAAACAAGAATAAAGTACTTGTGTCAAAAGAAAGAAAAGACTGCATTACCATCAGAGTCAGAATGGTACTTAGGTACAAATTCTAGCAGAATTTTTGTCATCTATTCAGCATATCATTCTTAATCAATAATAAAACCCTTTACAACTAGAATTTGTACACTGGACAGAAGTCAGATTTATACCTTTTCAACATAAAAGCATGCTGCAGCACGATCCAGGCCAGCAAGCCATAATTTCAGTATCAGGTAAAACAGAACACCTTGACAAATCCAGTATAACAAGGGCACGTCAGTACAACTCCTGAACCCAAACTGCTATTATCCACTGTTTATTTTTCCTTGATACTATAAAAGTTACTGGATTTTCAACAACATTCTAACAAAGTTCTTTGCAAAGACTATTGAGGAAATTAAGATGCAACGAGGCAAGAAACACATTTTTAGAAAGATGCAACGAGGCAAGAAACACATTTTAGATATAGATCACAAGCTGCGAGAACAGATACAAACAATAAACTATCCAGAAGAGTTACACTAGAATTGGGCATCACACTGCCCAGTGTAGGTAACTGCAAGATACAGGAGGATCTATCCAGCTTGAATTGTGCCGGTGCACCATGTAAATAATGCTGAAGAACAATCCCAGGGCAAGATGTCCAAAATCACCCAATATTCATTTTCAAAAGCGACTTAAGCTCTAAAGAGATTATGTGTCACTGAAAAATTGGTACGAGTCAGGAGCCCAAGTCTCTTGCAAATATGAGAACAGATGACATTTTAGACCCAGAAGCAGTAAAATTCTAAATAGCCACTAAAAGAGCAGCAAGATTCAAACTAGGAAACAAGATGCACAGCCCAAAGAAAGAAACAGAAAGTGCTGCTGAAGCATTCAGGAGAGAGAATCGTAGAAACTGAAAAAAGAATGATGCAGAGAACAAGGGAAGTAAGCGGACAGTTTCCCAACTGTGCCAATAAAAATCTTCATGACTGTGCCTATTCTATGACACCTGGATGTTAAGACTGTGATAGGTTTATTTAAGCACAGAATGCTAAAGCTCCAAAATCAAGGACTCTGAGAAAACATCAGAACTGAGTACTTCATTTGGCCCTGCTAGACTAACGAGTCTTCTTAAAGTAAGCTTCTTTAAAAAACTGCAGTGCAAGAAGCTGCATTCAACTCACCAGCAGAGTTTAGGCATCCAGATCTACAAATGACCTACCACCCTTTCGGTATGCAGTAACAGTCGATGCTAGGACACCACCTCCTGTGTGTAGAAAGTAAGGCAGTAGATAAAAGATGGAAGACCACCAAGAAATACACTACAACTTCCAAATTTTTGGACTTCCTGCTCTCAGCAAAACAGAAAAACATACTCTAACAACAGTTATGACTCCTGAATTCAATTTAAAAATACTACAGGGGTGTATGCTATGGTAATTGCAGTTATCTATACTCCTGTGCACCCAGCATCTCTTTACATGCACATGCCTCTGTTCTCTTCCGCTCCACTCTGCTGCAAGCTCCTGCCTCTCTGCATTTATTTTCTCCCCACATCAGACCCAGCAGCCTCAACCCTTCACAGCTCTATTCTCTGTCACATTCTGGATCTCCCTCTCCCCTTGTGTTGCCGCTCTCAGTCCTAAGAACCTTCATCACCAATCTCCTGGTTTAAGACTCCTGCTGTTCCCCGGTATTTCTACCCTCTCATTACCCTTCCACCCCACTTTTCACTCCCCTAAAACCCAAAATACCAGTCAAATTCTTTCTCTTCCATTCTGTACTGATATAGAAGCAGGTATAAGAACAGCACATTTTTCTGTCTATGCTGGGTCTCTGCACATGGCTCTTTTTGCCCACTCTTCCCTATCTACCCTTTGAGGATGATGTCATCTGTTCACACCATCTTAACTAGCATCTGCACAGCAATGGCTTGTAAGCATGTCTATCCATCCACCTACTCCTGATTGCCTCCATATGGTACTGCTTCTTCTCCCGATTTTCTCTCCAGAAAACTTAAGCTTGATATGTTCACAACTCAGGTCCTTATCATTCCTCTCAAACACTTTCTGCAGATAAAACTTTTGCCATTATTGCCTCCTGTAATATAGGAAGGCTTTTGTGACCCCTTTGCCTGCATTTGAACCACATATCCATGCTATATCCAAAATCCTTTTACAATCTTCCTCCATCTATACACCTTTTTCCTTCTAACAGTACAGCTCATCCAATATCTCCATCTTTGTTCAGGCACACACTGAAGAATTAGAAAGGGAGATGGAGATTCAACTGTTTAAATTTAGACAGGCTTCTCTACTTATCCTAAGTCATACTGAAAGTGAAGCAAGTAAATCTCTTTAACATGTTAGTATTTATGCTTTCATTTCAGGAATCCTCTTTATCACGTCACCCTTAAGAGCTATGCTGGTATCACTGGTTTCAAGCTCTTGGGAGGCAGACGATACAGAGACAGCTCAAAGAGCTCCATCAGTTGCTACTCAGCATAGCCAGCTGGTACCTACTGATCTTTGTTCAAAGTTTCTGCAATTTTTATTTAGGTCTTTTCTGAATGTAAAAGAGTACGGAACAGGAAGCATGCTGGACGGATATGTAGCTATTTTAAAAAATAAATAAAGTATGCTGTTACCTAAAGATAAATAATATATTGGATGGCTGTCTGAGAGAAAAAGTGAAGAGAAGAAAATGCAACTGCATTTTATAATTGCATTAACAACTTAAAAACAGAGGACCCCATCAAAATTTGACCAAAAGTGCCATCTTAATATAGCTGCTTATGTAAGAACCATGCTTTTACATTTAGGACTTTGTATCAAACTTTAAAAAAAAAAATTCAAAAAAATCTTTAAAATCAAGAAAAAGAAAACAGAAAAAGCCCCACACCCCACACTTACTTGAGATGAAAAACTAACAGCGGAACATTTTATACTCGGATATTCTTAAATTACTTGCTTCAGCAGACCGATTTTTAAAAAATACTATTTTGTGTTGTATACTGAATTTATTTCCAAAGTTTATTTTAGTATTAGTACTAATTAAAACAGATATTGTGCTACACTTCTCTTATTCCTCATTATGTGGTTGTGAGCATTATTTATACTGATAGAACAGATTAATAAATAAGTTACAAAGCAAAAAAGTGAAAATGAAGACACCCCCTGCAAAGTGAAGGTCAAGAACATCATGCAAGACATCCTTACAAAAACCTGTGAAGTCTCTAGCAAAATTCATGTGGAACATACAAGATTTTTTTTAGAAGTTAACATTTCAACAAAATTAACAACCTACACTACTATACATACATTGTACATGGCGATAGATCATAAAAATATTTTTTTTTTTGATTCATGAATTAAACTGAATTATTAACCCATTTTAAGGGTCTGAATAATCTCTGTGAATCCTAATACAGATGCGGGTACCAACTTGTCCTGAATATAATCTGTTCAAGACAAGACTTAGAGGCAGTTCTATTTCAGAGATGTTCTTAGGACCAAAAAAAAAAAAAAATCACAAATGGAAAGCAGGCAAATTCAAACATAGATTGTTGGAAGCTTTTTAAGTAACAAACGTTTAATCCCATTTTTTTTTTCAGTGTCATGTGGTTTCCAGTGTACACAAAGTAAAGAGTGAAAAGGTAAAAATAAAACTGGCATATCCTTAATATATTCCAGAATTCATAAATCATTTGTAAATTTAGTCCTTTTATAAAAGACTCCTTATATAAATCGGGGGGGGAGGGGGCATCAATCCCATATATGAAGCACAATTTAAGCCCAACATCACTGACCAATCAAAATTAGTGAATGCACTGCATCTCTCTGCAGTGAGGAGAAGCGACAAGGTAGGCTGTCATTCTGCAAAAGCTGCCCATCGCAAGCTTTCCTCTCAGAAGCACTGCTTTTCTTTTTTAGAAAGCTTGAATCTCAGTGGTGTCTCTGGAGACAAGAAGCCTTCAGTATGTTAAATTACTTTCATTATGTATTTTCAGATGCTTATTGATTCTACAGTAGGAAGAGTGGGAGACTGCAGCAGCCTGTAAACCAGAACTAAAGCAGTTGTATACATTAGCAGTATGCTGAAACAATGGCACAGTACAGGCACAAATTTTCATTAAGGTCATTTTTTGAAGATATGCTTATTACCCTTTTTTTCCCTTCTACTCTGCTAACAAGTGAACAAAATGAATCCCTCCAACCTGGAACTGCTTCACCTGCATCGAGAATTTATGAAATCTTTAGTGGAGGTAAGATCTGTTCCTTATTATGGTATGCAGAATAAGCAACATTTAACAAAAAAATTGGAGAAAAAAGGGAAGAGATCAGATTCAACTTACATTAAGCACTAGAATCTTGTTATATTTGAGATCAGAAAATATTCAAATGCTATTTCCCCCTCCCCATTAAAAGCACAATGGTAATAAAATGTTATTTTGTATGAAAGTCTTGTAGAATATTAAGAACCTGTTTTGTTCATACAACATAAAGACAGTACAGTTTAAGCTAATACAATATTGGGGAAAAAAACCCACATAATGCAACCGGGAATATATTCTTCCTCCCTCAGCAGTATTTCCAAATATTGGCAGTTAAATGTGTTACAGATTTATTCAGTTACTCTTCGAAGGATCAGTCAGTCTGCAATTAGTGTATACTTACTGCTTTATGAAGATTGGCTAATATGACTAATCTCCGATTGCTCAAGAAATCCCCCTTTTTTGATGGGTTTTTTTTCAAACTTATTTCTTTCATTACCCTGTACATCCAAGCTGTTCATTAAAAACACGGACTTGCTAAACATTTATTTCAAGAAAAGAAATTATAACAGTGTGCAAGTTAAACAAAAACGTATTTCCTATAAAGCTCATTGACTCTGCTTAATTTCTCATTGGAAGACAAGAGACTTTTGTGTATAAACTACCTGCTCACAAGAGCTATAAAACTACATTTTCTAGCTCTAGTCACGGACACTCTACATCCAACAGTCAGGGATTTTTGTAACCTGCACTATTTGGAGAACAGGAAACTTGTCCGAAAAAACTAAATTCATGTAAGTTGACAGAGGAATTACATGATTTTATTAGCAAACAGTGAACACATTAACTGATTTTTTATGTAATCTATAAGATCCAATTTTAGACATCTTTTATTCATTAAATAAGTGATATTAGAAAATATATTCTTGCATTACTTTATTTTGAAATTATAAGCCCTACTTTTAACCTTCTTTTTCCTCCCCTTCACAAGGGCATGCAGCAACTAATTCAGTTTTACAACTGACAATATGAAGAATGCTGTTGACCGGGTATCTTTCTAGCTGTATGACCTACAAGCAGCAGGATGCATCACTAAAATGTATTCTTAAGACATAAAGGAATTAGAAACAAAACATGGAACACACTTGTATTACCATTTACGTGCACGACACTTCAACAATATACATGGAAGACTAACACATCTGCTCAGATTTTCATTAAAAGAAGAGCGCAATGATTGATTCTTAAAATGGTGAGCATTTCTTAAAGAGGGATTTATAATTTAAAACCAGAATTGTGGAAACTACTGATGCATGAAGAAACAATGAAACATGAATTCCCAAAAGGAGAATATGCATACTTCACCAGCAAGCTGAATAAGGGTTTAACCAAGCTTTTTGTATACTACTCATTAAATAACTTATTTGTCATAATGACTAATGGATATTTTTCTCTCAATCTTATGGTCTGTAATGTATTCTCCTTAAATGAAAATAAACCAAATTAGGTAACTCATGGTACTCTCAAAGCACATGAACTGGATTTTATGATGTATAGCAACTTCTCTGACTAAGCCATCACTCAAAAGTAATGAGCAGGAATATTACAGAAAGAAATACGCAACCATAAACTAAAGGATGTCTACATACACTCTGAACACAGAGATCAGAAATTTTTTTTTTAAACCTGGAAAATAAAGACAGGCTGCTACAAAATGCAACAGGGGAAAGAAATTAACATCACTTAAAAGAAGGTTTATTTGTTATTGCTGGCTTGAAACTCAGAACAGACACACAGAATATGCACTGGTCTGTAGAAGCATCTCAGGCAATTAAGAAGTCCCCATGCTTAATCAGAATTTTTTGCTGCTGAAGTGCTGGAACAAAAAAAAAGAAAAAAAAACCTGCAAGGAATGAAATAAGAGCCCAGCTACTTGGTTTCCAGGTTACAGTGCATGTCAAATATCTGTCAGTGACACCATGTATCAATTTATGACAAGCTGCTGCAATGATCTGAAAGGCCCTTGAGGCACAGAGAACAGGTAGGTCAGCAGTTGCATGCACCCCGCCTCTGCTCAGCATTTGCAAGGGAACAGGCACTGTCCAGAAAGGCGATGCATTGGGTAAATTCGCTCCCTGCCTTGACATCTCTGCTTTTATTTAACTGAAATCTAACCAATGCAACAAGGAGGTGATGTTTAACCTATTCATAAGACTTAGAACATCTGAAGTTTTCTGTTTTCACAAAATTTCAGCTGGCATAATGTTAGAGTTAAGATCATAATTTGTTTTAGCATATCTGCTTTTGATTTCCTCCTGGCTTTTGCTAATATGAAAGAACTCCATTTATCCAGTAACGCATTTGGAATGGTTTCTTGAAATCCATTCACAGCCAGGACAGTGTACACAGAGGAAATCGTATTCCTGAGGGTTAATATAAACCTAGTAGAGGTTCCCAAATTAGAAATTAAACAAAGCTTTTGAAATATTTCTCGTTTCATTTCACACTTGAGACTAATAAGTTCTAATTTACATCTTTTGTATCTAAGAGGCACATGTGAAATAACTGTTGAAGCATACCAAGAATTTTCATCATACAATTTGCAAGTAATAGTACTGTGCAATTGAGGCTTTTCAGAGCTGCAGATGAAATCCATTTGCATATTGTATCCCAAGTGTGCTTAATTCATACTTTCATTAAAAAAGAGCTCATTTTTGTTCACCTTAGTGCTACCCATTTTTAATGTATTCAGAATGGAACAAAGGTCCGCATTTAAATTTATTTTCATGCCAAGTACATCCCCTCTTACATTTAAAGCTACCTAAAAAAAAAAAAAAACAACCCCTCAAGTATCATAACAAGAAATTAAATAACCTCTCTTTTATTTATTCATTTCTTTACAAACTCAAGACCTGGCTGACAATATAAATAATACAAACATCAGGTATTACATGCAGATGCTACAACAACCTATCAGCATGTGTAAAACAAAGCAGATGAGCCACAAAATAAAAAATCTCCTAGATGTAATAAATGCTACTTTTTTTGAACCTAACTTATTCCTAAGACAAACATGTTATCTGTTGGATTTAATTGCAGTTTGTATTAAAAAACAAAAACAAAACCAAAATACCACCCCCAAAAAAACCCAAAAACCAAACCCAAAACCCTGAAAGAGATAATTTTCTTTTTAAGTATTATTTTCTAAAATTATTCCCTTAAATCTATTCTGGAAAAAAATTAAATACTCTTCCATTCCATGTAGGCACTGATTTCTTGAAGAAATTTAATATTCAAATCAGAAAAAGGAAATGTAGTATTTGCATAATAAACTCCAGTCCCCCAAACCCCCATAAGTTTTGCATTTGAAATTATATATACTTATATAAAATTTTTGTAGTGGTCAGTTTCATACATGTAGATGCACACAAGATAAAAGTGGACAGAAGTCTTCAAGCTCGGCAAAAATCTGCTGAATTATAGAACTTTAAGTTTCAGCCCACAACACTATTGCAAACTCTTCATAAGAAAGAGGCTCTTAAATTGCCATAAATAATTTAAATGTTCTTTTTATGATACATAAGCAACAGTGCTCCATGTTCCTATCACTTTCTTTTTCCACAAGAGCCTTTTAAAAATGGTCTCGAGTACTAATTTGTTAATACTTAACAACATTCTTCTAAAATGACCCTCAACGCAATACAAAGGCAATGCACAAGTATAGTTTATTCAACAAATGGGCCCTTTGTAAAAACCACATCACTATAAATAAAGCCTTGTCTCCCTAAGTGGAAGCTTTTCACTTTTTTTTTTTTTTTTAAACAACTCCTGCTTTCCTTTAAAAAGGAAAGACCTTATTCTAGATCCTCAGGCTTTTGAGTCCATGCCAACCAAAGCTCTAAACATACAGTAAATCAAGAGTTTGATAAGAATAGATGCTTTTCCTCCCTCCTTCTTCCCCAGCATTTATCTACAATAGGTGTTAAAAAAAGAAATCAAATAGTTCCATATTTTATTTCATCTTTCAGGAGAAAAAACAACTGCAACAAAAGAATGTGTTTCTCTCCCATTCTGGAAGTCAACATGCAGTCTGAATCTAACATTACAGTTCGAGATGCCATTGATGACATCGACACCAACATGTACCAACCACTGTCATATCCATTAAGCTTTCAAGTTTCTCTCACTGGATTTTTGATGTTAGAAATTGTTTTGGGACTTGGCAGCAACCTCACCGTGCTGGTACTTTACTGTATGAAATCCAACTTAATCAATTCTGTCAGTAACATAATTACAATGAACCTTCATGTACTTGATGTAATAATTTGTGTGGGATGTATTCCTCTAACTATAGTTATCCTTCTGCTTTCACTGGAGAGTAACACGGCTCTCATCTGCTGCTTCCATGAGGCTTGTGTCTCTTTTGCAAGCGTTTCAACTGCAATCAACGTCTTTGCTATCACTCTGGACCGATATGACATCTCCGTAAAACCTGCCAATCGAATTCTGACCATGGGAAGGGCTGTGATATTAATGACATCAATATGGATCATTTCACTTATTTCCTTCCTGATTCCTTTCATTGAAGTCAACTTTTTCAGTCTTCAAAGTGCAAGCACTTGGGAAAATAAGACACTTTTGTGCGTGAGTACAAACGAGTACCACACTGAGCTGGGAATGTACTATCACCTTCTTGTTCAGATTCCAATCTTTTTCTTCACTGTTATAGTAATGCTAATCACATACACCAAAATACTCCAGGCTCTAAATATTCGGATTGGTACAAGATTTACAACGGGACAAAAGAAGAAAGCTAGAAAGAAAAAAACTATTTCTTTGACCACTCAGCATGAGACTACGGACGTGTCCCACAGCAGTGGAGGAAGAAATGTCGTCTTTGGCGTAAGGACTTCTGTGTCTGTCATAATTGCTCTACGCCGAGCTGTAAAACGGCACCGGGAGCGACGAGAACGGCAAAAGAGAGTCTTCAGAATGTCCCTCTTGATTATCTCAACATTCCTTCTCTGCTGGACACCCATCTCTGTTTTAAACACCACCATCTTATGTTTGGGCCCAAGTGACCTTTTGGTAAAGTTGCGATTATGTTTTCTAGTAATGGCATACGGAACAACTATATTTCACCCTCTACTTTATGCATTCACAAGGCAAAAGTTTCAGAAAGTTCTGAAAAGTAAGATGAAAAAGCGAGTTGTTTCAATAGTGGAAGCAGATCCCATGCCAAATAATGCTGTAATACACAACTCATGGATAGAGCCTAAAAGGAACAAAAAGATTACCTTTGAAGACAATGAAGTAAGGCAGAAATGTTTAGTACCTCAGGTTGTCACTGACTAGATTTCAGTATTCACCAAAACACATCAAGCAGAATATTTGAACAAATTGTAGAAAAATACTGCCAAATAAGAAAAACTTTTTTTAACTATTGGCGAGACTGTAAATTTTCAATATATATGTTAAATAGAGTAGGTCTTGTATATTCAATTTCTTCATTATGTAAGATATATGTTGCATGGCCGTTTGTTAGCGTAACACCATGTGTATATTTGTCAAAAATATTCAAGTCCTCTTTTTTAGAAAATAAATAGCCTTAAAGAAGTGCAAACTTTTGAAAATATTTGTATGGCTCAGTTTCTCTGTAAATATAAAAGAATTTTTAAACAAAAATTCCACTCGGGAATACTTTTCTAATACACAAATTCAACATTTTGCATGATATGGTATTTTTAAATTTAATTCATAAACAGTATTGATCAGAGATATTCTGAATGCTATACAGCTACAACTTGGACACATTTTGACCTCATATTTAGATAGCTACTTATTTCAAATTTCTCCATCATGCAATTACCATGCATGTGTAGACAAAGCCATTTACGCGATGTCCTTCAATTAATGGTTCAGAATCAGTTCATTTCGATGGGGGGGGG